GATTTCTGATTTCAACAGCCGTAGCATGACTATTTCGCAGACTTTGTAAGATGATAAAGCGATCATCATGAGCGCTAGTTCTTCGTTGGGGACCAGTTCCAAGTCGTCTGGTGTAAGCTCCAGTTTCCAAAAAACGTGTAAAAATACGGTGCACAGTGCTATTGGATATGTGATACTGTTGGACAACATATCGCTCACTTCTTCCGTCTTGAAGCAACGCAACAATAGCAGCTGCTATTTCGGGATTAACAGCCATAATTTTGTAGATGAAATAAACGCAGCACAACTTTAAAACGTGTTTCGATCTGTCAAATTTCTCAAAACAATGAAAACAACAGCATTGTTGGCTATGGTTTCATAGCCAACTATGCACTTTGAAGTAATAAGTCCGTTCAATGTTTGATTTTTATTCAAAAACGCTTTTTTTTCTTCAAATAAAGGTTCAATTGTTGTTAGAAAATGCTTAAAACACGTTGTTTTGTTTATGTTTGATATTATAATAATAAAACATCACAAAGCATTAAAATTTTAAGTTTGTTTAAAAAAATTCAACTGCTCCGTTTTTCGTGCCGGTGAGTGTAGGTACTAGAATGTACCATTATCTAAAATAAAGTTTTAAATATTACCACTAACCCCCAGACTTAAACTTTATTAACACTACCCCCAGATTTAAATTCTGCGCCACTGCTACAAATTGCTTCTCTATAATCAGTACCTAAAACATGTATGGACATATGGTATTCAGCTTTAGGGCAGTGCTAGAAAAGCAATCTCAAAGTTATTGAACATCATTTTTTAAACACATTATTTATAGGTACAGTGAGAAAAATCGGTTGACTGCCTACTGTGATTGGATACAGCTCTTCCACTAGTGGGCTGGCGCGCACTGTTTTATCTGTGTCTAATAAATAGCATCATTTATTCTACACCATTATTCTGGTGTCATTGATTGAATGTTAACATATTTTATACAGCTTGCATGTATCTAAATAATTCAAAATAAAAGATTACGTTGCAAGAGATTAAAGATTTTATAGGGGTATTTAGAACACAATATCTACATTAAATATATCAAATAAATTAGCAAATATTTTAATAAAATTGGCAGTAGCCTCAAAATTTTCAAAATGTTTTAATTTTATACTACTATATTTCAATTTTCCAATCGGATCAAGTGATATCTCTATTTAAAGAGTATTCCAGCCTCAGGTTGGTGACAAAAATTGGCAAGATGAATTATTTACTGTTTACATAGTCGAATGTCCAGTCATATTCAAGTATTTGTTTGCTGTAATGTTGCAAGGGTAATTTAAAAGCTCTTTGGAAACACTGCAGGTTCTTGTTTCATTCCATCTTTCGTTGAATTTCACTAGGGAATGTTTTTTAACGTCACTACCGATGTTGTAAGTCCAATGGATGGAGCGGGTCTAAAAAAGTATTTCATTAGCTGCCTAGTAAATCGGCAACAAGACTTTTTGATGTAGCGAGGCCTTTGATCCATCTTAAGATGGCCACATTGTTGATGGATACTTCGGCCAAAGTTTTGTGACATTCTAGAACTAATCCTGAGGAAATTTGTGGTATGTTCAAGGTGAGTAGTGAGTAGTATTGCCCTGTGGAACGGCATTTATCATCAGGGTGGTAGAAGCCCACCAAATGGCCACTTCCTAAATGGGACATCTAGAGACACCGCTTGGCGACGTTATCCTGCAGAACTTTGACTTGAGGCTGACTATCCCTAGACACCCCCCAACGACAACAAGCAGATTTTCGATGAGTTGACATCCTGCAGGAGTTTGATGAGCTAGGAAGATGGCTGTCTCTAGAGACACCCCTCGGCGATGTTATTAACCAGCAGGACTTTGTCCTGAGAGGCTGGCTATTTCTAGATACCCCTCAGCGACAACCAACAGGTTTTTGACGATTTGATGACCTGTCAGACTTTGATGAGCTGCGAAAATAACTGTCTCTAAACATCTCTAAGCGGCAAACAGCAGGTTTGACAAGATTAGATGCAGGTTCTATATGCACTTGGAGAATGCAGAATGAGTCTTATGAGATCTAAGTACTATGGAGCAACCCACCCTCGCACCCATACAGATACAGAAGATGAGTGAGTAGTGCTTGTCTGCCCAGACAGCACACTATATCCTTGGCATATGCCACCAATCTGCCTATTTGCCAAAATATATTGCTATATTTATGGAATATTCACTGAATATATTTCATATTTTACATTCTAGAAGGATATTCCAGGCATATGTATTTTTAATATGCTCTGCATATTCATTTTTCATATTGTATAGATATCTCTGTAGAATATTATGTTATATTTAACTATTTTGTTTTATTATCTATAAGTACAAATGAAAGGCATAGTTAACAGGATCGTCCTTGTTTAGTTTATAAAGACTTAAATTAAACAAAAACGTGAACTTAGAACGCCGGAATGTAACTTTAAATCATTATCGTGCAAATTTATTTTCAATTAATAAAAAAAATTAAGCCTCCGAGATCAAATGATCTTTCTCTTCATAGATAAAATAAGTATATATAGTTTTCCTATAATGTAGACAAGAAAAAGATAAAAGAATGATTCTAACAGTCAAAAGTATGCGCCTAGTACGTATTGGTAGTTGGTAGTAAAAATTACCTAATAGTGTCTTATTGGCTCCACTCATGATCTAGCCTATCGTCGAAAGTCTTTGTTACACGGAAAGTTCGATTGTGAGGAATATTTATGATACCCTGGTCAAATACTCTAAACGGTGAAGGCCACTAACGGAAAAAAAAGAAGAATATGACACATAACCAAACATTGTCAGCTAGAAACGTGTAGTTTTCCTCCATGGTGTAATGGTGTAGTTTTTGTTTTTTCTCACGATATACCCACCTAAGAGGTAAGTCTGATTATTTATAATATTATGGTCCTTCTGTAGTATCAGTGTGGTACCTAAAATCATAAATATTTTATAAGAAGTGTAAATCAATTGGTAGACAAGTCTCTTTTGATTTGCAGACAAGGCACTATGTAAACCTATTTTTGTTTTTTTAGAGATGTGTAGGAAAATCCACAGTACACAAATGGCAACGGAAAATGTAGAGGCCTTTACTATAAAGTGACCCAAAGATGCTATAGAAGTAAGTATTACTGTAATGTTTGTCTCAAGGTTTTGAAATATTTCTATTTTACTGATATTTTTATCTCAATTCTAACACTTATTATTAAAAGCATCAAAATGTAAATAATTTATAAATATCTCATAATACATATACATATCTTATATATCATTTTTTTTAGGAGAAAAGTAAGTAAAGAATCTCAGCAAATACATTTAAATTTTTAGTTTTTTGTATGTATATTGTTTTATTTTTTGAAAAGTTGCTTTATTTTTAAAATAAAATTTATTTTGTGTTTAAGTATGGGTTTTATTTTCTAACCTATGGTACGGCATTTCAAAAAAAATTGAATATGCCATGAATATTCAAAATACCATGAATATAGGCATACATAGATATCCTAAGTACATCCATAGAATATGCCATACATATATTTTGGTAGATAAAAACATATCGTGGGCATATGTTTCATGGTGACCTTGAATATTCCTGCAATGGCGGATATGGCATATCCATGGAATATAGGAGTATGCAGTTGAGATATGCATTGAATATTCATGCAATATTTTTGTGCTGTCTAGGTGCTATCATTAGATAGTTTTCTTTTGCTGCTACGAGAATCCCCGTGAATTTAATTTTAACTATACTGAATCTATTGCTCTCGGCCCATTTTATGTTTAGGTTTAAGGACCTGTAGTAGATTCCATACACTTGAGCTAAGTTTTGATTTAGAACCGTCGGTGTAGATGAGAATAATTCATGTCACTTTTCAATTTGAAGTTTAACAATAGCTTTACTTGGAAGTTAAATACTTTTTCTACAACCGTATTATAATAATGCACTTATATGCCCATAATCCGTTTCATAATGATACCCATTATGATACAGATTTTTCATTACGATACAGATTTTTAATCAATAGAAACCTTAGATAAAAGAGACCGGAGATGTAACATTGCACATTGCGCATGTTGTCTATTCCAAACCTAAGTAACCCACCAATTAAAAATCATTGTGTTCACGACGCCACCCGAATTGCTCCGAAATTTCTATTCTTTGCTTGTCTCCGCGTGAGTAAATCATTTATTACCGCCGTTTTTGAATTATTTGTTGGTGTTATTAGCAATTTAAAGTGTTTTAGTTATTCAATTTCAAGTTGAAAATGCCACGATGTATGGTGAAAAATTGTATATACAAATAATATGTGTCAATGTTATGAAAAATAAGAAATATATTCGTTTTCAGCGGTAAATATTTGTTGA